CGCGTCTGGAGATGTACTATTAAAACTTGGGGGCGGACCTTAGTTTAGCACTTTTAACCCCCCCCCCCCACACACACACACACACAAATCATTTTACTTCTTTTGGCCCATAGTGCTTCGCCGCACCCGCGACTTGACAACGAGTACTTAGACTTACGCTCTACCAGAGATTGAGGACCTCCGTGCTAAGTTGGACCAAGCTCACGATACAATTTCTTGTTTACGCATGAGATTGAACGCTCTCGAGCTGTTTGCTTCAGATAGCGAGGACTACGGCGACAGCGAAAGTGAAGACGACCAACCTAAACCTTGGTTCATCGAAGATTTTGTTGAACCGGAAACAAACGTCGATGATGGTGTCATGCAAATCATAGATTTGATTTCTGACACCGAATAAATGCGATTTTTTTTTTGGAATTTCCTTCATGATATAATTATTGTACTTGGCTCTAATTTTACTGGAATTGTCTTTTAATTATTTACTTTTATGATTTAATGTTAATTACCTAACGAGTTGTCTGTTTCGTTAGAGCTGGATTCTTCAACATGTTGAAACCCTTGCAGTGACACCGGTGCGTCATTTCCAGCGTTTGTGGTGGTGTAAACCAATATCTGGGCTCTCCGTGGCCACAATCATTTCTGATTTTTCCTTAGACCCCAATCACGCAACGCCTCCGGTCGTCAAGAATCGCCATGTCCGCGCGTGTAGAATAGAAGGCAAGCCCGGAGTCGGTTGAATCGCCACCAAGCTGAACGAGGCCTTCAGGCTACCGCTGCTTCTGACATTGAAATCTCTATTATCCAGGTCGAACGGGTTGTGTTGGACCGCCGTTACACATCGCCTATTGAATCGGAGGGGTATTATGCTCGACGTCAGCGCTTGCAAAGCCGTAGCCGAGCTGAGTCGCGTTGCCGCAGGAGCTGCCCAGCAAACGGTGCGACGGAACGCCATTCAAATCAACTGATCCGTTCCCTCCGCTTGGCCCATGCTCGATTGGATAGCAAGATTCATCATCTATCACTCGAACCCGTTGCGCGATAGACCAATGCGGAAGCTGCCGCCGTAGGTGTGCGCCCATCAGAAAAAGCAACACACACCACCACCGGCAAATGTTAGACAACAGATCAGGCGTCGCCGTGCAAGGGCTGTGATCGAGGAGGCACTGCGCGTAAATGAGCAAGTTAATACAACGCCAGAGGTCCTGAAGATTCCAATAAAAAAAAAGCGCCGCCGATTGGCAATGCTTAAGCAGCAATATCTTGTAAATATATCGTAACTCCAAATAAAATGTCTTGCCATGGTGATCAAGTTGCGCAAGCGTTGGTCCAAATATAAGTTGCGCACGAGTTGATTTGCGCAGAAGGAACCTCAGTAGGGATATCGCAGCTCCCATACAAGGTCAACGAACAGGGGCAGCCAGAAGGATCGGATTTGCCAACGAATTCTTAAAATGGTACTGAATAAGTAATGGAGGTTGATGATGCAACGCTGTAAAATGTAATCTCCAAGTCAAATCGTAAAAAAGTAAAAAGTCGTAAATATTGAAACGTAGAGCAGAGGCCACAAATTCGACCTGCTCCACCCATCTCATTTAACCGCGCATTTTGTATGCAGATATTGATGCGAACTAAAGCTCAATGCACCAATGAAGAGCGACGGGAGGTAAGAGATTCGACTCTTAATAAGTTACCTACAAATATTTGTTTATATATATAAATTTATCCCTTGGCTGTTTTGGAAGTCCGGGCTGCTGGTGAA